CATATCACAGTCTGCTTTCTGAGTTGGAGATGCCCCTAATTACTTAATTCCCCATAAATAAACAGCCTGCTGGTTGTGGTTCATTAGTATGAGGGGTTTAAGTTGATGAGGAGAGGCATAGAAGATTGCAGAAGATAATTTTATGAACCAAAATATTCAATATTTTTTATCCTTGGAGATGTAGCACTTGAGATTTCCCAGGAATCCACAACCTCTCAACACAACCGGAACTCACAAAGGAAGAAAAAAAAATTACCTGCTCCAGCTCTCAGCAGTCTTTTGTACCATTAGATAAGAAAGGGAGGCACGTAAACAGAAGTTAAGAAATAAAGGGAGGGGGGAATTGTGCAATGGTATGTCAGAAACGGATACCTATTCATCCATTCGCATTTGCATGTTTTCAAGCTGCTAGGTTGGCAGGAGCTGAAGTGAGGACGGGAGCTCACCTCATCGCATGGCTAAGGTCTCAAACCTGGGCTTTCCAGCTGACGAAAGATACCACTTTGGTAGAAAGGTAACAGTGTTTGACCATGGAAATGTCTTCAGATAGCGGTGGCTGAATAGCTTTGAAACAGAGATGAACACATACACCCCATAGTTGGCAACTACCATGTTTCCCCAAAAATAAGACAGGGTCTTATTTTCTTTTGGCCTCCGAAATAAGCGCTTGGCCTTATTTTTGGGGATGTCTTATTATTTTTGAGGTGCAGGAGGCGGCTAGCATGGTCACCTCATGGCTGCTGCTGTGTTGCAATATTTTTGGGGGAGGGCTTACCTTTTATGTCAGAATGATTTTTGAGAACAGGAGGAAGAGCTGCAGCCTAGACAGCCATCACGTAAAAGGTATTTCAGTCCCCTGGAGGACAAAGGGTTGTGGGAAGAAATATCTCAGAAGGATCCTCCCTAGTTTTCTGGAAAGTAAAAGAAGGGAGTAGGGCTTTCCGACTAGCAAGCTTCTGTTACTTGTAATCTTACAATAAAAGTAGTGATAATACTCATGGTTGATGCTTCTTGTCTGGACTACTTCAAACAGCTGATATGCTGCTTGCCGCTGCAATGACATAGAACCCTTTAGGATTAAAGATCTTGTAAGGTGATTACACATCAGGTGGGTTTCAAAAATTGTTCGAACATACTCTGTGGGCGTGGCCTCCTTTGTGGGAGTGGCTTGCTACACATGTGACCGGATGGGAGTGGCTTGCTAATACCGCTGCCACTAATGCCGCCCCCCACCCAGCTTCAGCCACATACTGCACACGAGCCTAGCTCGCGACAGCTAAGCCGCCCCCCCCACTTCAGCCGCTACCGCCGCCGCCACTACCGCCGCCACTGCTAATGCCGCCCCCCACCCAGCTTCAGCCATGTACTGCACATAAGCCTAGCTCACGAAAGCTAGGCCGCTGCCCCCTTCAGCCGCTGCCGCCACCTCTAATGCCGCCGCTGCTAACGCCACCGCCGCTAATGCTTCAGCGCTACCGCCGCCACTGCTAATGCCGCCGCTAATGCCGCCGCCACTAACGCTTCATCCTCTAACGCCGCCGCCGCTAACGCCGCCACCGCCAATGCCGCTGCCGGCAACGCCGCCACCGCTAATGCCGCCCCCCAGCTTCGGCCGCGTAGTGCACGCGAGCCNGAAACCCATCTCTGCGCAGCTGGCTTTCATGCCTAAGGCAGGATTAGAACTTATGATCTTCTGATGATTGGCCCAAAACCACCCATTCGGTTTTCATGCCTAAGGTGGGAACTCGCAGTCTCCCGGTGATTGGCTCAAAGTCACCCAGCCAGTTTTCATACCTAAAGTGAGATAAGAACTCACAGTCTCCTGGTCATTGGCCCAAAATCACTCAATTGGATTTTATGCTTAAGGCAGGACTAGAACTCATGATCTCCTGATGATTGGCCCAAAATCACCCATTCAGTTTTCATGCCTAAAGTGGGACTAGAACTCACAGTCTCCTGGCGCTTGGCTCAAAGTCACTCATTCAGTTTTCATGTCTAAAGCGAGACTAGAACTCACAGTCTCCTGGTCATTGGCCCAAAATCACTCAATTGGATTTCATGCCTAAGGCGGGACTAGAACTCCTGGTCATTGGCTCAAAGTCACCCAGTCAGCTTTCATGCCTAAGGCGAGACTAGAAATCACAGTCTCATGGCGATTGGCTCAAAGTCACACATACAGTTTTCATACCTAAGGCGAGACTAGAACTCACAGTCTCCTGGTCATTGGCCCAAAATCACTCAGTTGGATTTCATGCCTAAGGCGAGACTAGAACTCACAGTCTCCTGGTCATTGGCCCAAAATCACTCAATCAGTTTTCATGCCTAAGGCAGGACTAGAACTAGAAGAGTTAATTTCTGGATTAGACTGTTCCCAAGACCTTAGGGGCTTCCCAAGATGTTGTTAACTGCCCCATAAAATCATCTGGACTACCAAAAGCCCCTGAAGGCAGGGCAAGAAGCAACGGATGGAAACTAATCAAGGAGAGAAGCAACCGAAAACTAAAGAGAAATTTCCTAATGTCCTCCTTTCCTTTCCAATTAATCATTGGAACGACTTGCCTCCAGAAGTCGTGGGTGCTCCATCCCTGGAGGTTTTCAAGAAGGATTTGGCAACCATTTCTCTGAAACGGTAGAGAGCGCCTGAGCAGGGGGTTGGACTAGAAGACCTCCCAGGTCCCTTCCGACTCTATTATTCTCTTACCTGCCATCCGCATCACCATTCTGGAAAGAGAATTTTTTAAAAATTCATTTGATTGATTGCTTCTCGTCCCAGTTGACTGAGCATCCGGAGATGCACATGGGGCTACAAGCTTTGCTTTCTGTGGTTACATTTTGTTTTTGACGATGTTCTGGGTTTCGCTATTGATTATTCTGCATTCTGCTTTGTTTCCTTTTTCTCTGGTTGTTGCTCGTTTGAGCCCTGTGGGATAGAGATGGGCTACAAGGACGGCAAATGAAGGAAAAGCAGATTGTAAAATGAAACAAAATACAGCAGAAAGAACGGAGCCTGGAGGAAGTGAAATGAAATCCGGCAACTATCAACTCTGCCGACGGCCGGCACCAAAGCTGCAATTTAACGAAGGCAGATCTTCTGATTGAAGGCTTGGCTGCACACACTTGGTTGAGTCAACAGTTCCAAAAGAGGTAAACAAAAAAAAATAATACACACACAGCCAGACACACACCCAGTAGTGCCGTGATGGCAAACCTATGGCACGCGTGGCAGAGATGGTGTTCAGAGCCCACTCTGTGGGCATGTGCACCACGTGCCAGCTGCTCTTTGCAGGTGCCAGAGTGGCCTGAAAAACAGCCAACAAGAGGGCCATTTTCTGGCTGTTTTTGGACCATTTTCCAGACCATTTTTGGACCGTTTTTGGGCCCTTTTTGGACCAAAAACGGCTCAAAAAACCCAGCCTGAAAATTGCTCCAAAAACGGCCAAAAAAACTGGCATGCATGCGCCAGCCAGCTTGTCTTTGGGTTTCCAGGGCTCTGGGGTGTGCGGTTGCGTGCATATGCATCAGTGGTGGGATTCAGCCAGTTCGCACCTATTCGGGAGAACCGGTTGGTAACTGTCAGCCTCTGCTTTGCTGCTGCTTCGGCTGCCATTGAAACGGGGAGGGAGGGCATGGGATTTGGGAGGGGACTGATTGTTGTGCTGGAGGAAGATTCTGGAGTTTCAACTGCCCGTCTTACTGCGCATGCGGAGGAGGTTTCCCGCCAAGGCCAACGGCACCGACATTCCATCTTGGTGATGCCCTTTCGAAGTTATCTCGCACCTGACACTTGGGAGAATTATGATTGGACTGTGCATGGGATGCCATGGGGTGGGGAATGGGTTATACAATATATCATTTGCTTTCACGCCTAAATAATCAGACCCTCGCTTTGCTATGCTGTTCATTTATAATTAGTAAAAGTACACTTGATTTCTATCAATGGAGTCTTGTGGTTTTCTTTCCTGATTATCCAATGAAGGGGTGCTGACAAAGACACCCCAGGGAATGTACCTAGCATACTCTGGATCTCAGGTGGGCTCTGCATAGATGTGTGAGGAGAACAGTGGATTTTTGCAGATCTGAGGCACTTTTCGTGTTGTTCCAGCTAGGGTCTATGTGGCGGAAAGTTCATCATCAACCATTGGCCGATGGCTGAGAGTATGCATCGCCTTGGCGTATGAGCAGCAGTCAAGGACGGTTCCGCACTGTATCACTGCTCACTCCAGGAGGAGCGCCTCCAAAAAGGCTGCCTGGCCAACCCAGGCAACAATAGAGGATATCTGCAGGGTAGCGACATGGTTGTCCTCCTCTCCGTTTGTTTGGAATTATAAAATAGACACATTTGCCTCAGCTGAGGCTTCATTTGGCAGAAGAGTGCAGTGGGTACACTCCACGGCTGAACCCCTGGACAGACCTTCTATCCGCCCTGGTGACAAATAACTTGGATAGGTCCCATGTTTGGACTCTCCAAGCAGCGCACAGGAGAATGACTATTGGCTTACCAGAAGGGTTGTTCTCTGTGCACTGTGGAAGAGTCCAACTCCGCCCAGGGTCTTGTTTGGGTCCAGGGTACCAGAAGATTTCCACGCCATCTCATCGCATCTCTCTGGACCCAACAATCGTTGAAAAATTGGCCTTAAGGAGGAACAGGAGGCATGGTTAAAGAAATTTGAACTCAGTCCTTGGGCAGCCAGACTAATTTAACCCATGTTTGGACTCTCCCACAGCACACAGAGAACTATCTTTCAGGTAAGCCAATAGTCATTCTGTTCAGCCTCCAAAGTTTAAAATTTGTTGATAAGGTTTTCATCATTTTGGTTATATACAAAATAATATCAGGCTGTTATACGTAGAATTTTTTAAAAAAATGTTATTGTAATAATAATTACACAGTCATCCAGATTTTTAGTATGTCTGAGTAAGACTGGGATCAAACTGAAGAATTGCTGGTGTTATAGGAAACAGAGGCAGAATCTTGTGAAATTCATCTTTGTTTTTATTAGGTTCTCAAGCAGTGCCAACCAATATGCCTCCACCACGTAAACTACCTCACCGTTCCTGGGCTGCATCCATACCAACAATTCTCACTCACAGTGCCTTGAATGTTTTATTGCTGCCCTCACCAACCCCTGGTCTCATGCCAGGACTTGCAGGAAGTTATCTTTGTTCACCACTTGAACGTTTTCTTGGATCGGTTATTATGAGGAGGCATCTCCAAAGGATTATTCAGCAGGAAACGGTACCAATAGGATTAAAAAATTTAATTCCATTAAGCAGTTGCTGAAAGGCAAAGCTTCATTTTTCTCCTAGCTTCAGTATGCATGGAAGTAGAAATTGTACATTTGGAAACCATGTTTTAAATTGTTTGGAATCATATGAAACAATATATGTTTATCCCAAATGTGGCTCATCCACTACTATATTACCAGTCCTTTTATTGAAAAATCCCAAAGTTCCTAGGAATGCAAATTGGAAAACATTTTGTTTAGTGTTTATACAGGTAGTCCTTGACTTACATCAGTTCACTTGGTAACTGTTTGAAGTTAGAAGAACAGCACTGAAAAAGTGATCTATGACCATTTTTCACACTTATGACCATTGCATCATCATCATTGTCACATGATTTTTCAGACGCTTGACAACTGATTCACATTTCTGTCCTGGGGTGATGTGATCCCCTTTTGCAACTCTGACAAGCAAAAGTCAGTGGAGAAACGAGATTCATTTAACAATCCTATTACTAACTTAACAACTGCAATGATTCCTTTAACAAATGTGGTAAAAATAAGTTGTAAAATAGGGCAAAACTCACTTGACAAATTTCTCACTCAGCAACATAAATTTTGGGCTCAATTGTGGTCATAAGTTGAGGACTATCTGTATTTGGAAACATTTTGTCCAAATTCTGACTCCTCCATAAACTTGTTTGTTGTCCAAGTCATCATAAATTTGTTATAATTAGTAGCAAAATAAGAATTTTATCGAAGATATATTTCATATTTGAAAAGTTGAGAAAAAATATGTGCTGCCTTGATATCAAATAGACTATGCCCACTGCTGACTTGATGGAGAGTATTTTCTTGTGGTAGGAGTATAAAGCAGTATGCAGTTCTTCAGAGTTTAAATGTTCAGATAAGTTATTTTTATAAAGCTACTGTACTGATCATTAAGCAACTTATTAATTATTAATTATTGACAGAGGAACCTGTTCAATTTCATCAGACAATAGCAATGATGCCTTTCATTTCCATTTAAATAAAACTTTCTGTTGTTATTCAGATCATAATAAAGCTTGGATAAGAACTTTCATTTCAATCAGATATTTTGGCTTTTTTTTAAAAAACAGTTGCAGCTTATCAATTCCAATGAACCTGGAGTGATCATGTTCAAAACAGATGCTCTGAAGTGTAGAGTTGCCCTTAATCCCAAAACTAACCAGACCTTGCAACTAAAAGTAGCACCTGAAACTGCAGGCCAGTGGAAGCAAGAAGAATTGCAAGTTTTGGAGAAATTTTTTGAAACCAGGGTATGTATTTGTCCAATGTTATTGTAATGCAGGGCTGTCAAACTCCTGGCCCACGGGTGTGTCATGGGTGTGGCCATGCCCATGCCTGGTTTAGCGAAGAAGAAAAAAGTCCCAAGACGATGTGAGTTTGACATCCCTGTTGTAATGTAACTGAGGGCTTAATGAACAAAGTAGTTAGGGTGCTGTGATTTTTCATGGTAAGAGGTCTTTGAATTAATTTTCATAGAAAGAGCAGAAGCCACTGTTCCATGACCAGGAGTAGCCAAATATTGAAAAAAGATTTTAAAAGCTGTATTCAACCATGAGTAACTGACCCAACTTTTCCCAGTTTCGTGATGTTCCTTTGAATTAAACTACAATGTTCACAATGTTATTAATTAAATAAATTACAATTTATTCTGGAGTTAAAGCCAGGGAACACTTACCTACGAAACATGATAAAAATACTGCATTTATTGCAGGTTGCAGGGCCACCATTCAAAGCCAATACTTTAATAGCCTTTACCAAGCTATTGGGAGCCCCTACACATATTCTTCGGGATTGTGTACACATCATGAAACTAGAACTGGTAAGTCCATTTTGTTCTCATCATTATTGCAAATATTTTTTCTACTTAAATTGAAAGTGGATTATTTATCTATTTCAATGGCATGTTTTATTAAATAGTTTCCTGATCAGGCAAGCCAGCTGAAATGGAATGTACAGTTTTGTTTGACAATTCCTCCAAGTGCTCCACCAATTGCACCTCCAGGAACACCTGCAGTTGTGCTGAAATCGAAAATGTTGTTCTTTGTAAGTAAAATTGCGGGTTCTAATGCTGATGATTCTATTTGATGTGGTCTTTAAGAACACATGTAATAAAGTTAATTCACTGCTTTACCTTAGCTTAAGTATGACTAGTATAATCTCTATTAATAACATCTTTTGAAAGAAGCATAAAACCTTTTTGGAACTAGTCTAGTTACTTAGATTAAAAAAATAGTTCCTATTTAATTTGTGCTGATAGTGCTGCCTTCCCTAAACTAATACATTTATAGACAACAACTTCCAGAATTCCAAGCAGCAGGAAAAAATATCAATTAAAAGGCATCTATTTTCTTTTGAAACATAGCCTTTTAACCTCGTATATGTAGAGATAGCTATTGCCAGCAACTATAACAAGCCCTAACAATAGTAAAATGGCACCTGCATCATGATACAAGTACAAATGATACAATTACATACATAAATTACATCATTTGTATGAGATTATGGTGCATGTATCATTATTTGCTCATTTTGCTTTTCCAAGAACATCTCTAGTAATTCTTTACTAGAATTATTCAGCAGTTAAATATTCAAAATCAGATTTATGATCTTAAAAGACTGTATAGATGCAGAATTACTATGGTAATCATTGTATATTTTCTGTTTGGCAGCTTCAGCTAACACAAAAATCTGCAGTTCCACAGGAAGCCATGAGCATAATCGTTCCAATCATTTATGACATGGCTTCAGGTACTACACAGCAGGCAGATATTCCCCGGCAGCAGAACTCTTCAGTTGCTGCTCCCATGATGGTTAGCAATATTCTAAAGAGGTTTGCAGAACTGAATTCACCACGGCCAGGTACTGTACATGTGCAGTAGGTCAAATCATCTGCATGTTTGAGTTGCCAGAATCTCAACAATTACACTTTAAATATTGCACTTTATCATGACTCTTGCTTTGCCTTAATTGGTTTTATTAAAATCTGTTTTCAGTTAATGCATGTACGTGATAAACTGTCTGTATATAGTGCTTCATGGTGTCAGAGGGTTGTATTATTGACATGACATGGACTTTATATTATTGACCAAGGAAGTGTAATGCATTTGATGACTTGACTTATACTACTGTGGTCATAGTTACACTATTTTAAGTATTAACATGTGACTCGGTGTGTATACTTATGTAAAATATAGTACTTGTTAGTCATCCTGCACTATAGAAATATATTTTCCCATTTATTGTAATTTATTTGTTATGAGACTGGTTGCCTATCTTGTTCTCATTTGTACTCTTTCAAGGAAAGTTGGTGAGCCAGCAAAATGGACCGATTTATAAATTATTTATAAAGTAACATTTATAAATTATAGTACTAGCTTTATTTTCTGTATTTCATAACTAACATCTTGTCTTGACTGTATCTTCTCTTCTGTGCTTTTTTTCTGTGAGATACTTTTGTATTCAGTTTCTCCTTTTCCCTTAATAAAAGTGTTAGAAACTTTTGAAATGCACTTTTTTTCAACATTTTTATTCTTGGGTTTGCAATTTCTGCCCAAGGCACTAATCTCTCAGAGTTGGTTTGAAATTACAAATAATTATATTGGCTTTATAGGGTAGTATGATCATACTGATGAGCACAGATTCTAAAATTATACTATATACACTACAACTATATGCAAGCAGTTTATAGGATTCAGGTGGTATGGATGATGCCTCTTCAAATGCTTGCCTTTATTTTTGATAATACTCCATCTGAACCTCTGATCATCATGGAGGTAAATGATTTTGGGACAGTAAGACATATACTTCCACCACGGTTTAAGGTGAATTATCCAACATTCATGCAATAGTTGCTAGCATTTGGACGAATATGTGGGCTACCTGCAATTCATGCATGCTTCAGAGAGTAGCTTAACTGTGAGTTACTTAAGCAGTGATGCTTTTGGGAAGGAAAATGCAGTTATAGTTTGTAATTGAACAGTTAGTGGGGCATTGGTCATCTGACTCATACTTGGGGCTTAACCAAAACTGGAAAAAAATAAAATTAGCATATATGGTTTTAAACTTGCAACATCTTTTCCCACATTGCTATAAAACATGATGGCATCAAAATAATTAATGCATGCCTTCTAAATGGAAGCTTTGAGACAACTCCATGGCTACTTTTTACTGCTTTGTCATTTTAAAATAGTAAGTTGAACCCCAGTGTACATTTAAGTAACCTATATATTCTGCTAGAAACCTTCCTGTGTTATAAAGGCTTCACAGATTGTATTCCTTAAAGAGTAAACACAGCAGCATTTTCAAAAGCTGTAGGCATACAGTTTGTGGGGTTTTTGCCAGGTTAAAAATAAAAACATTCTGCTTGAGTTATCACTTTTGAAATTGTGGGTTTTCTTTTGTCTTTGAGTCTCTTGTCAAGAAAAGTGCTGGGTTCTCCTAGAGATTTTTTATGTTTTGTATAGTGTTGATCTAATCAATTCCAAAAATTATTGACTTCTTATTCTGATTTAATAACTTTTTCAATTGAAAAATATTACAGAGGTTAATAGTTAATGTAACTGTTAACAGCAATGCCAGCAATAACTGTCCAATTGTTTTGCATTTTCTAATAGTCGTCAAGTGTGTTCTTCAGTACTATTAGCATGAATTGGTCATCCTTTGGCAATATAGTTTAGCATTCACATTTCCTTTAAGGAGCACAGGATAGTATACATAGGAGACTGAGAAAAATATTTACAGCCAAACAGAATTTGGTTGCTAATCCACAACCAACAGTTTGGCTTTTGGCTCTTTTAAATGCATGTCTTAAATGTCTTTTCTATATAGAAAATCTCATTAGCTTGGATGATATTTGTGCATATTATGTAGTAATTGGTATTTAAAAGACATACCTTTTATTTTTGATACCAACTGTACACTTTCTAGTAAGTTAGAATAAAGCAGTAATATAGACAATTGGAATTCTGTTTATGGTGCATAAATTGTATATTTGTTATTGTTAGTTGTTTACATTTTGTATTGATCACTGCCATAATGTAATCCACTTCTCTTAACTTCTTTTTCTTTCCCTTTTTCTAGGTGAGTGTACAATCTTTGCAGCTGTTCGTGATTTAATGGCTAACCTTACATTGCCCCCTGGTGGGCGCCCATAGGCTTTTATACAAAGGGTAAAAATGAGATGAAATGGAAAAACTCTGAAATAAAGCCTTTGGTTACTTAGAATGGAAGAGACATTTTCACGTGTCACAATTTTAAAAGAGCTGATACAATGGATTGGCCTACTTTCAGGGATGCACTTTCATCAGTTGTTTTTTTTCTTGGTACAGCACTCTTAAAATGTTTTACATTTCAGACTCATAATAAATTTATGTATCCTCTTGCAAGTAAAGAGTTAATATTCTGTTTTATACTTCAAAGATTATGAAAATGCCAAATTTGTTTATTTAAATTTTTTTTCTGATGTCTTGGTGTAAGTCTTTTTTTAAAGCAGAGCTGTCATTTTTTGAATACTGTAAAACTATGAAAAACTTTATATTGAAACTGTATTTTAATATTACTGCTTTGGAATGTTAAAAATGGACTTGTTATAAACATGTCCGCAAAAGCAATATTTAATAAACTAGATTTTTAAAAATAAAGTTAAAGTTACTTTTAAAATGTACATTTATATAGGAAAAAAACCTGGATGGCTGTTTTTTTCCTCAACTTTATTGGTTCTCAGACAGTACCTTGCTTTCAGCTACCTTGAGTTCTAGTAGTGGACCTTCTGCCGAGCTTTTTAAATTTATGCATTAAATGATGAATTTGAAACAGGTCCTTTTTAAATAGAGGGATTTATTTTGATTGAATATGAGGGGAAAAGGTGAAAATCATATTCAATATTACTAAATAAGAGCCAAAAATATACTCGATATTGGTCATTCTTCATCGAAGGAGAATAATAAAGAAACCTGCTTGCAATGGCATCTTAAAGTGATTATTCCATTTTGCAGCTGCATTTTGTCAGTTAATTTATAGTGGCCAACTGTTGGACATCTTAATGGCATGAAAATGCTGTGTATTGAATTTAGGTTTACCAGATATCTGCACAGACAAAGGAAGGCAGGGACAATTGAAAGATTGACAAAAGGTAGGAGACAGTTTCTTGCCATCTGTTACAAAAATTATAGTGAAAAACTGCAAAAACAAAACATTTTTAGGTCTACACGTATGTGAATGATTTCCAGCATCATAAAGCCTGGTTTTTGAATTGCAAGAAAGAGCCAGTTGGAGGCAAAAGCCTTCGTGAATAACTGATTTAACTGTCAACAGGCTACTAATCAAACAATAAAAGTCGGAGAGCTGAGTTTGTTACTTTCAGTTTCTGCTTACTAGGGAAGCTTGCCTTACAAAGAAAAGCTGCTTACAAAAATTAAACCTGTTAAGATACTCAATACCCTGGACAATATTTGTTTTTAAGGCTGCCTGCTGAATATAGGACATGAGGACTAAAAAGAGGACATATACCTCCTGTTGCTAGATCTTAATGGCAGGTAAGTGAACTCTAGTTGAACTGAAGAACTAAATTAAAACAGTACTGTTAACTTCCCAAAAAGATGGAGGTGGACAAGATCTCTAACTATATCAGCCTGGCTAAGTGCTGGTGCAGAATGCAAGAAGAAAAGCCAGCTTTTTACATAGAAGGTATATGGAAGCCACATTCATAATAGTGAAATGCTCAGCGTTTCTTTGCGTTTGGAAACGTTCTTGGAGGGTTAGGAAAATCAAACATCCAAAGAGGGCATCCGGTTAGGGAAGGCTGTGCTACAGTAACTTTGCTATTCTGTTCTGCTATAGGGTGCTATTTTCCAGGCAATTATTTGGACGGGGAATTATCCTGAAAACATAACAGTAAAATACGGTCCCCCTATTAGGTCTCATGCAAAAGAAAGATTGGATCGCGGTGGGTTGACTTCGCTAAATCTTGAGGATCATAATGGCTATTTTATTGAGGAACGCTATGAAGTAACTTCATGGAAAAGGGAATCTGAGTGCGGATTGTTAAAAGATCGCCGAAGGCTTCCGGCCTTCGCACAATGACGAAAAAAATCTGCCCCACTTTTTACGGCTTAAGTCTGGCCACTCCCTGACGACGCGAGTACAAGCTTGCGATGGCGCTGGCAGAACTGGCTGCGCGACTTAACTGCGCCGAATATAAAAACTGGCTGAAGGACAGGCATAGCCACCGCCTCTTGAAAGCTGCTCTGCAGCACTTCGCCGATGAGCAAATTCACATCTTCCACCATCAGTTTATTGCGAGCGACTTCGTTCACTTAATCCCGTCAGGTTTTCGCTGTGGCGGGCATTGCATCCCTAGAGACAAATAGGTGAGGCTTTCCACGCCGGACACAGAGCTCTGGCCATCGCAGGAGCGAGTGATGTCGCGCTACGTGGTCTCTGCAGAATTGATTGTTCCCAGTTTGTGCTGAACTTGCCCGGGTTGGATCCCATTCCGGGGCGTAGACTCTTTCAGGAACAATGGACACGTGTTCGCTAATTTGTTCCTGAATAATACTTGCATCTTTGTTTAACACCATCGCAAACTTGCATCTTTCCTCCATCTGGTGCTGGGAGAGATGCAAATCCTGTCCAACAATCTCCAGAAGGTTGAGGAGTCTTGAGGGAGGCTGCCTTAGCCAAACATTTTAATTTCAATCCCGCCTTTTGTTCGGCAGCTTTCTTCCTCATCCTTTTTTCCTTGATAGGAATATATTCTCCCCCAAAAAAGGGGATTTTGAGCCCCTTGTCCTTCCTCCTCCGATCTGCTTCATTCTCCTTTACTGCCTTCTTGTGGCATCACCCACGTAAACACACGAGAAGAGGGGCGGGCTTGCCGGAGGAAATCTATGGAACAAAGAATTCTCCCTGCCAACCAGCGCCATCTCGTGTGAAGGGAAGGAGTGAAAGGCTCCATCTCACTAAATACTCGCCATTTGGCCTTTCCTTTTACATAGTGTGTGATAGATTCTCTGCAATTATTTAGAATGGAAAGATTAAAACATGGGCATTAGTGTAAGATTGTTGAACAAATATATTTTTAGCTGTGGGTAGTATATGCATTGCCACCTCATGTTTTGGAGTGTAGGAAGTTAAAATCCATCCCTCTCCTACAGAAATGGAATATTTTAGGAAATATTAAAGGGCAGAATATTTCCTCTAAATGGGAGACAGAAACTCGGCTCCCCCCACCTTTGTCAATGAGCTGAGCCAGTCTATTCTACATAACAAAGATCTACCCCCTTCAGCTCCAGGGTGATGGGATTAAGGCATGATAAATCCTTTATCCATTTTACCACATGGCACCTGGGAAGATTACATCATCGCCCAGCAAGTCAAGCAAGCCTGGGAGGCAGCCTACAGAGTTGCCTTTGCATGGCCCCATGGTAGTCTGACAACCAATCAGAATACAAGGTCAAGTTCAAAGCCCAGAGAGGGCGTAAAACCAGGGACTTTCAGCATCTCTTCCCCTTTTTCTTCACCCAATATCTTGAAGCATTTTTCCCCAGGACCTCAAACCATATGGTCCTGTCCATCATTATACCATCTTTCCAAGCAGCCTCCATGTTTCCAGTGCTTTTTCCCCACTTGGAACTGAACCGAGAAGGACATTTCTTCATTCTATTAGATGCAACAGCCTCTGAGTGTCATAGTACAATTTGTAGTAAAGATAAGGTGGTGCAGTGCTCCAGATTTAGTTCAGAAGGAGTTTCAAAATGTGCAGGAGTGCATTGTAACATCTATGTGCCCCTCATTAGAGCAGCCCATTTGTTTTGAAGTACCTCTTTGAACTGAATCAGTGTGTTGCACAACTTAGTAATATAAATAAACCAGGAAGTCCCCAGTGTGGATATTGCTACACTGATACCCTGTGTGTTTAGGTGCAGGGAGAGAAAGAAAACACAAATATGCTTGCCTGCCTCTGCTTACATACCTTTGGAATATAATTATGTTTTCATAATTGGGATTTCAACCTCCCATAATTCCCAGCAATATGACAGGCCCACAAAGGCTGTCAGTAAGACTGTAAATAGGAAAATGACAACTGCAAAAATAAATTGAGCCAAAGCCACTTTTCTTCACAAGAAACCTAAGGTCTGCAACTAAAAAGCTGTTTGGTTATTTTCATCTAATTTCCATGTAGTTTGGTGTGCTGAAAACAAATAAAATATTGAAAAAACTCTTAGATGTCATGATTTGCCACAACATGCAAAATTGTCTTCAAATTTATCAAAAAAAATAATTTTTGGTATTTTTTTATATTATGGGTTTTTAACCAAATTTAAAGTCCAAATTACTATTAATTAATTCGATAAGTGCATTTAAGATATAAAATGCCCCAAAAACCTTAAAGGGTTTGTCTGAGTTATGAAAAAAAATATAGCACTGTAAATCTGAAGACAATTTTGCATGTTGTGGCAAATCATGACATCTATGAGTTTTTTCAATATTTTATTTGTTTTCAGCACACCAAAAC